AAAGGATATATTAAATATTATATAAAAATATTATATTACTATATATGAAATAAATATAAAAGATATTAAATAAAGAATATAAGAAAGAGATGCTAAAGCACAACTTGCACACAGGGCATTCTGCATTCACAAGAATTCTGTTTCCTCATGGTTTAGTGCTCTGTTGATGATGACCGCATGCTTTTCCAAGTGCAGTTTGAGGAGGAGAAAATGATTTGCATAGGAATAAAATATATGGTAACCATAGTACTGGCTAAATTCCAATAAGAATGTAATCTGCCTTTTTTATTCCCCACCCCCCCCAATTATTTGAATTAGGATAAGTGTACAAGCTTTTTTTAACTATCAGATAATGTTGACTTTATGAGTGAGTGTGTGTGCACACATTGCTGGAGGAAGGCCTCAACACTGCCATTTTCTGCATCCTTTAGCCCTATGTTTCAAACGAAAGAAAAATAAAATAATGAAGGAAATAAAATTACACAGTTCCGAAAACAGAATATATTACTAAATGTCTTTTGTAACACCATAAACAAAAACCTGAGAAGTCACAAGCATCCACAAGGTGGTGGCTCATTGCTCTTCTTGGTTTTCTAGACAAGGTGAAGGGCTGGGAAGGCATCAAGACTGTACAGCATGAATTCCAGCATGATGTTTTCCAGCGTTCATGGCTGCGGAGGACTGGGCAGTCATGGCAAATTCTGAGTGCAATTTTCTGGTGACATTATTCATTACAGATTTTTATTTCCATGGTTGCTGGGTCAGGTATTCCTACCTTCATTTATACAGCAAGGTCCCTGTGAGCCATCTAGTGGGAGGTTTCTTCTTAACACTTGACCATCGGGGAAATCCTTTCCTTGCACCTCTTCCTATTCAGCCGCCCAGTGCCAACCCTCGAGCTGTCATGAGACTTCCCTCATCCTACCCGCTTACCTCTTGTGATCAGATTTCTGTAAAGTGACAGGGGAAATGCAGAGCTGCATTTTTCTGAAGTTGAATGACAAAATCAGAGCAGACCTTACTAGACCTCTGTTACTGGATATGTATCAAAACATAAAAGGTCATTCTTATAAACCGGGAAACAACAGAGTAAGGAAAGGCAGTTAAGTAAGTTTGTGAACCTGTTCATTACAGTTACGTGATTGAAATAAAGAATACTTATTTATTTAGTATTTGAGTGTTTGTACAAAAAGAAAATAATCTTTAAAGTGTCAGCATAGCAGCTTATCTTCTACAACATGGAATCCAAGTGCCTTTTAATGAACGTTGTAGTTAAAAGCATCCAGATGTATGTTTTTTGCATTGCGTTGAACTGAACCGTGTAAAAAGGCTCTAAATGAACCTTTTAAGTTTTCACCCTCTATAAAGCAAACCTATTGTAATTCGTGAAATATCATTGTAATAATTTTTATAACACTGTTGGAAGCTTGGTGTCCCTTGCTTACTTTGTAGTGGTTAGTCCCATGCAGCAAGTTGGGTGCATGCTGCCAAATGAATGTT